TTTGTTTTGTTTTGTTTTGTTTTGTTTTGTTTTGTTTTGTTTTGTTTGTTTTAGGTCTTTGAAGGATCTTCCTCCACAGCTACAACTGTTATAAATCCCTCCAGGCCAGTCCATCAGTAGAGTACCATACAGGCTGGAGAAAAGGCCCAAAAGGGCTTTGTTTTAAAGCATCAGGCTTTTGTCTCAGAGCAGGAATGTGAGGAAGAAGACAGGCATCTTTGTAGTTTGCCATCTTTATCTACTCATTCCCCTCTCCCTCGTTGCTAATCAAAGGAACTGGCTTTTATTTAATGAGGAAACAAAATTGCTGTAGGTTAGGGCATGAGAGAGAAGGCTGGGGCACACCCTGAACTGGGGTACCATCCACCATCTAGACTCAGTCACTGGGTTTTGTCGCCTCTGATCCTCAGATCTTTAGTGCTCATCCTTCAGGTCTCAGAACTAGCTGTGTCGCTATGTGTTACTCTATTCTGTTTGTTACGTTGTTTCCTGCCTTCTGTTTTGTTTTAAAATCAAAGGAGGAAGGTCTTCCCTAAACAGTCAAGAATCCAGCCAGTTCCTTCTTGACCATACCCTCCTCCATTGTCAATTGGAGAAGAGCCTCTTTATAGATAGCCTGATTTGTCCCTGGGCTATCCTAAGAGAAATACAATTTTAAATGAATTTTTGGGGTGAACTTAGCTGACTCACAGTAGGCAGTCAATATCCTGAAATGCATCTCTCCCAGGCTGGCTAAGTGTCTAGCATATCCAGCTGCGTTAACTGGCCTCTTAGAGAGATACACTTCCCATATCTAAAAGGTATGATGGCTTAATTCCTATTTAAAGATGAGACAGTTCCACCAGGATGAATAATTTGCCTGAAGTCTTCTGGCTAGGCAGTAAGAGTGAAATTCTAGTCTCTCAAGGACACAGACTTGCAGGATCCGCCTTGACAGTGATGCAGATGGGGGCACATTCATGTAGCCTGCTTCATGACTCAGCAAGTCTCCTAAGTCAGAAATCTGCATCTTTCAAAAGAAGAGACAGAGCATCACTGTGAAATAAAATGGAGCAGGAACCGATGGCTCAGGCCATGGGCAGAAAAGAGTGTGTTACGAATACATTTTAAGGAAGTGCAAGTGACTTCAACACTTTTAAATCTTTCTGAAAAGATGAGTAACCCGTAAAGGCGATAGGTGGTCACCTTAAATAATGCAAATAAGCATGAAACCACAGATTGTCATTCCCAGCATTGAAGAGTCCAAGGTGAGGCAGCCCTATAGTCTCCCTAAGAAGACCCTGTCTCCAAAGAAGACCAACTGATACAACAAAAAATACAGGTGGCATAGAACAAGCAAGCACACGCCTATTAGAAGACAAAGGTACCTGAGGTACCAGAATTAAATCACTGAGGGTAAGGGAGGAATGTGCTGCTGTAGGGTTATCTTCTTGACTCACAGTAACTGAGGCTCAAATGAAGCAACATACATGAGAATCGACTTTGAAGGCCTAGTTGTAAAGTCCTCAGCTATTCTGTGTCTATTTTGTTTTGAAATGCAATTAAGAAAGAAAAGTGCCTTGACAGAAATGCAGAAGCAGGTGCAAAATGGTGTTGAAAATAAAGTCAAATAAACCAAACCGCCTTCAAGTGACGGAGGGAACACTGAGCAGACTTGGAAGAGAGCTTGTCTCACATCTTCACAGTGTACGTGGGAGTATAGGATGAGAAGCAGTTTCAGTAGTGTCTTGCTCACATGAGAACACCAAAGCTCATATGCAGGCAGCTCTGGAAGAGGGAGCCGAGCAAGAAGTCCCGGGCTGACTACTGGGCCTGCTGACCACCGGGCCTGCTGACTGCTGGGCTGGCAACAGCCAGTGAGGGAGACATTTGGCTTTTGGCTGACTCTATATGACCCTCTGGAATTTTGTACCATGTGTGAGTGTCACTAACTCCAAATTACATCACAGCATAGGAACAGTTAGTGGGAACTGGGTCATGTAAGGTGAGAAGAGAATTGTTGGTAAAGGGACTTAAATGTCAATACAAATTTGAACTCCCCCAAAATGGAACACTTGGAAGCCCCTTAGATGTTTTAAAAGTGTGCCCAGTGGATTTACATATCATTTACTTTATCATATCAAGTTCAGAAAACTTGTTTTTAAAACCTTTCTTCCTCCTAGGAACAAATTTGAAATAATCTTTTGTTTTACAAGGAAAAATCATGACTGACCAATATTGTTCCCCAAGTTCACATATGTGCTTTTTATTACTTTGTATTTAGTTCAGGGTTTAATAATGCATATATTTTTTTATTTTTAAAGTCGTCACTAGAAATAACTCTGAAAATCATGTGTATGATCTTGTTTTTACAGTCTATTATAGAATAAGTAAGAGAAAACTTGTCTGTAGCTTTATAATACCCTAAATAGATAGTTGTCCAGCTTATGTAACATTAAATACTGTTTGTTCTCATAAACTGAATTCAAAACCTAGACCATGTAGTTAAGAGGGGTAGAAATCAGCACCTCAAACTGTGAGACTTTATAGGCAGACCAGATGATCCAGTTTTATTCAAGGCTGTTTGTAAATTATATCCACAACAGAGATGTGCTCAGCGATGTGTTTATAAAAAGTTAAAGAGAGAAAGACTATGTCTGGTGGAGGTGCCTCCGAGGGCCCATGCTGAGGCATCCCTTCCCCGTGAGGGACCAGCCACACAACAGTATAATATAGAGTAGAGTTTATTCGGGGCATGAGGAGGGGAGTTAAGAGGGTAGTAGAGACAGAGAATGGGAGAGAGGGGTGGGGAGAGAGAGAGAAAGAGAGAGAGAGAAGGGGGAAGGGGAGGGACAGGGGAGGGAGAGGGACAAGGGGAGAAAAGAGAAGAGAAGAGAAGAGAAGAGAAGAGAAGAGAAGAGAAGAGAA